GATATAAAATGTCACTTATAAGAGTACAAAATGAGTTTTTTGTACTTCCGCTTTCGCCGGAAATGATTCGCACAATGCCTGAAAATGGAACTTGCCTTAGAAAGTTGTTATTCAGCTATTCACAGTAGTCTAAACTTGTCAAAATTAGTTTTTCTCAAATAGTTCAAAGCCCTCTAGATTGATCTTTACGATAATGCATATTCTGATGACGAAACGTCTAAATGTTAATTTGAGGGTGCTATCAGACTCAGAATATTCTCAGGATTCTAAATATGTAAAAATATATAGGGCGTTCCTTTTAAAAATCGAAAGTTGATATCATTTCCGGCGAAACCGGAAGTACAAAAAATTCATTTTGTACCCTTATAAGTGGCATTTTATATCCTAATTAACCATGCTTCATTTCATAAATAAATAAGTTACAGGGGTGCGCCTATTCTCAGATACACCCGGTATATCTAAATAGGCGATCGCAACATAAAAAATAAAGTCTTTATTCTAATTTATTTATTGGGTAAATATTACTTTCATAAGTTTGGAATAAAATTTGAAGCTTGCTTATCGAGTGATGGATCAAAAAATAAAATTAAAGTAGTTATAATTTCTAACTTGATGACACTATACAAGGTGTCCCTAAACTTGGTGGCATAAATTTAAGAGCAGATTAAGCAAGTCAAAATAAAACGAAAACCCAAATAAATATTTTTCCTATTTACTTAAGTTTCCAAGATACAGGGTGATAAAGTGTTACTTATCATATCAGTTTTTTTAATATAACCTCCACTATGGTAGTCTTGGAAAGGTGATATTTTGCGAACAGTCACTTACTACCAAAACACATATTCACACATAATTACAATTGTTCGAGTGAACACAGTGTCGTAGAAACGGGAGTTGCTTTAAGCTTATTGTCCCATACAAACTTTGAGGTTAGGTTTTTATAACATTTGATGCAATTTTTAGATTACACAGTTCGGCTACCATTAAAAAGGTGTACCTCTCAAATTTCGATAAAATAAACCGTTTCCGAGATATTCGAGATTACAATAATTGTTACATCGCATTTTTTAAAAGGATTAAAGCCGGATTTATAGTTCTAAAACGTAGCCGTAGTCGTTGCAGTTGCAGTTGCAGTAGGGGCAAAACAGTCTGTGATTGGCTGGAGGATCTTTGCAGTAGCATCCAAGGTCGTTGTCGTAAGTTGTCGTAAGAGATGACCAACTTTTATCTTTTCTTGCGGCAACGACTACTACAGCCAATCAAATTGCAGATATTGCAGACAAACTGTCAAACTCAAAAACAAGGCTCCCAAACCATGTTTATAAGTAAACTAAACCAAATAAACAAAATAAACGAAGCGAAAATCACCGATACAAAATACTTGAAATCTTTGTAAACAGAACAAATGTCACTAAACTATGTTTATAAGTAAACTAAACCAAATAAACAAAGCGAAAATCACCGATACAAAATACTTGAAATGTTTGTAAACAGAACAAATGTCACTACGCGGCCACTATACTGCAACCGCTACGCGCTGAACTATAAATTGTAAAAATTAGCTACTTACTTACTGCAACTGCAACTGCAACGGCTACGGCTACGTTTTAGAACTATAAAAGGTATATGATAACAAATTTTATTTTTTAATTGAAAAAACTAAAAAGGGCATTCCATGAGCCTCGGGACATTTTGCCCTGACCGTCACATTAAAAAAAATTGTAGTTTTTTCAATTAAAAAATTTGTTATCATATACCTTTTAGTCCATTAATGCGATATAACAATTATTGTAATTTCGAATATCTCGGAAACGGTTTATTTTATCGAAGTTTGAGAGGTACCTCAAAGTTTGTATGGGACAATAAGCTTAAGCAACCCCTGTTTCTACGACACTGTGTTCACTCGAACAATTGTAATTATGTGTGAATATGTGTTTTGGTAGTAAGTGACTGTTCGCAAAATATCACCTTTCCAAGTCTACCACAGTAGAAGTTATATTAAAATATTGATCATATGATATTATAAGTAACACTTTATCACCCTGTATCTTTTAAACATACGTAATTAGGAAAAATATTTATTTAGATTTTCGTCTTATTTTGACTTGCTTAATCTGCTCCTAAATTTATGCCACTAAGTTTAGGGATACCTTGTATAACCAGGGCCGAGCCTAGGGTATCTGCCGCCCGGGTGCAAGAATTAAATTTGCCGCCCCCATTAATGTAAAAAATTAGGTTGTCGGTAGGGAAGGAGTTCATTCTCAATAAACATATAACAAATTTTATAGTAAAATAACAAAGTATTTATTAACAAATACATAAAAGAATAAAATAAAAATACATTCAGGAAAAAAAAACAAAAATAATTAAACTAAACTAAAAATCTAAAATCTACTTTTCTCGCTTTTTTAATAGCAAATTCCCTAATCAAGTCGCCTACATCCAAGTTGTTAGAAATATCTTCTTCAATACTTATAATTGCTAAATTTGAAAGCCTGAATTGACTCATATTGGATCTTAAATAGGTCTTAATTAGTTTTAATTTCGAAAATGACCGCTCTCCATGGGCAACAGTAACTGGTATCGTCAAAAATATTCTTAAAGCTACAAATAAATTCGGAAAGATGCCTTTTAAATCATTAACTAGTTTTTAACTTAAACGCATTAAAAGACAAAATAAACTACTATTTTTGCATCCTATTTGCCTCACGTTAATAGAAAAACTAAAAATTGCTGAAATACGCAGCCGTCAAATCGGAAGAAATTATGCTTTAACTTAGCTTCAGCTTGTAAACAATATCACGTGGTACACAGCGCGCGATTTAATTGATTTCCCGTAAGCCCGCTTCCGTAAAACATGAAACTTGACGAACTCGAAGCGGACGGACGGAAAGCGAAGCGGGCGGGCGGCAATCTATAAACCGGGCTTTAAGAAAATTGTCATCATTATTTTTTGGGGCTATCGCGCGTTCGGTTATGTCTTTTTTATCATTGCCGCCTGACAGCACAATTTTGGCATTGTTTTTATGTGTAGAATAAAAACGATGATTCCTTGAAACGCCGACATCAATAAAACGCAAATGATTTTTAGAAAGTTTTTTGCATATTGCAAGGTGGCTTTTTTATTCTTGATAATATGAATTTTTTGATGATATTTTGCCGCCCTGTGTTAGTGCCGCCCGGGTGCCATGCACCCCTTGCACCCCCGGCACGGCTCGGCCCTGTGTATAACTATTATTTAGTTTATTCATTTTGAGTTTTTAGTACACTTATAAATTGAAACGCAATCTGTCAACTTATAAACTGAACTGTAATATTATCTTTCATGCTTCCAATGGTAGGTTACCATAGAGAAAAGTCTATGATGCCTACTATGATCAAAATTAGTAAACTTGAAAAAATTTTAAATTTATAATTAAAAGTAATTTTAGCTCTATCTATGGCGATTTATGTAAGAATTGTATGTTATACATAATATATTATATGTAATATATAATGTATAATATGTAATATAATACATTATCTTATAAAACTAGATAAAAAATATATATTTTGTAAAACACGTTAGTCTTATACCCTTTCAAGGCCTAACTTAAAAATGATGTCTCTCGTAGAAACATAAATTGTATGTAGAAGTTTATATATCAAATAATAGTTAATTATCAGTACTTTAACGTGATATACTCAAAATTTTAAAACAACGTTGCTTATTCGATTTTTTATCCCTTAAAAAATGGAAAAATTTTAAATTAAAGTGTATGTTAAAATCTAAAAAAAATAATACGTGGATTTATTGCCATTAATAAGGTCTACATTTTATCTTAATTTAAAATCGATAGGTTTTTAAATAAAAATGTTATTACAAAATATCGAAATTTATCTATTTTTAACACAATAGAGTGACTTAAGACCTAAAAACCACAAGATCAATGGATGATTTTTTTTTAAATGCACCATTCCCTTTTAAAAAGGAATCAAAGTAACGGTTCTGCATAAACCATTTGTTTCAACCGTCCCCATAAAAAAATCCGTAACAGTTAAGTCTGGACTTCGGGGAGGTCAAAAATTGGACAGATCTTGCTAAACTTTTAATAAGGTATTCAATAAAACTTCTTTAATGTGATTTTAATTTTATTTAATATCTAGATTTGTTTTGGTAATATTTCCCCAATCCAGTGTCCATCGCATGCAGTTTTGTCCTTATATAATAATACAAATTCTGCCTTATATTTTCCATATGGCAAATATGGCGGTAATTTTGATTCATCCGGAGCAAGATTTCGAACGTAATAGGTATTCTTAAAATAAATCGTACATTTATTGACTTTAAAGTTATGTTTATTTTTTTACCACAGACTGAAAAATTGGGCATGATGTGGGAATATTGCTATCCTTTAATATATACCAGATTCCAAACACGTTCTTGTTTAACATATCGCATAAATTTAAATTCACAGTCATACCCATATGCTTGAACTCGTTTAATATTTGCTTGTAAAATTTAATTTGAATCTTAAAAATAAATACAATAGACAAAGTTTATTTCAAGTTCTACTCGTGGTAGTAGAATTAGTACCAAAGTAATTTTTTCTTACCCTGGTAGTTTCCCTGGTCAAATTGACTTTTAATGTAAAAGCAGAGTTCATACTAACAGCGGTTCTATTATATTTGGTCATGTTAAAATATACCTTTGACAAAATTTTTTCATCGTACTTGGTACATTCAGCATAATCATGTTTTAATTTATATTGATTTTGTGAAAATTGCCCATAACACAAATTTAAAAGATTTATTAGGAAGATAATAAAAAATACTTTCTGCATATTCAAAACGTTGGTTTGTTTATACTAACTCAATTAAATTTGAAAGTGGGTATCTATCATTGAAATCTTTTTTGTGACAATTTATAGTTAATCAAATTTATTCTAATGTACATTAGCATATTTAATTTTTTGGATAATAATTTAAAAGCAGACATTAAAAAATGATTATATGGTCCAATTTTTCGCAGATAACACATACAATACAATATTTATACAATTAAATAAAAAATTATAATATTACACACAATTTATATTTATACAGTGGTGGTTCTAATTTGGTTATTTCTATTTTTATGTGGCAACGCGTACAACATCTTCCTCCAGAACCACGGATCTTCCCACTTGATGTACGTAGTCATTTTCATGTAGACGCTTAAATCTCCATCAATCTCCGTCATGTCCACTTCCCCATACACAAGAACTATGACCCTGGTTCTTCCTTCGGTGAGGGCCTGCGTGTAAGCGGTTCGGAATTCCATTTTCGTCCAGCAGCTCTCCAAGAAATTTTTCGAAACTATCACGAGAGTTCTTCGTGAGTCTCTTACCGAAGTGATGACTTGCTCGGTTATTAGTACTCCAGGTATCCAGTCTCTGTAGTGCACGCAAACTTTGTAAGAATTCGGTTCTGATTCAAGTTTGGGCAGTAATGTTCCAAGGACGAAATCGTCGTCTTTTTGAGAAAAGCTAAGGAAAACATCGTAAACCTTGTCTTTGTCCAATTCTTCTTCCGTGGCGAACCATAACAACCATCCTTTGGAATACAGCCACATTTTGATGTACTTTTTCCATTTGTAGTAACTTGCCACAAGAGATGATATTAGAAACAATAAAAATAGTAATACCAACATTATAACCCAAGGAAATGTACAAATATTATCAGCATAAATTATTTGTATATTAGTACCATCACATTTAACATTTTGTTTGTCAACCACCTAAAATATTTTTAAATTATATTCAATAAATATTTTGTTATAATAATTTTTTCAAGAGCTACCTGACTATTACCGCTTAAATATTGTTTTAGTTTTACAGTTGTACAATAACAAATAAATGGATTATCCCCAAGTTTCAGAGATCTTAAGGAAGGTCCATATAATGAATCAATTAGTTGATCATTTAAAAATGAAATATTATTATGGTCCAAATATAGATCCTAAAATGTTTGATTATGTTATTTGTAAGTTCTTTAATTTACGTATTATAGAGTACATACTTGTATATTGGGTGGTATCCATGATATATCTTCTATTTTGTTTTCAGACAATATCAAAACAGTTACATTATCATATCCATCATCTTGAGAAGGTCCTTCAACTAGGATATTGTTTTGCAAGTCGACCTTTACATTTTTTACTTTGATTTTTTCTCCTCTTTTAGGAATATAATTTGGAGCCGAAAATATTGGAATTTCCTTTAGTTTTCTATTTGAGCAATCCACTATAAATGACAAATTAAACGGATACCAAAGACAATTGCATTGTCTAGGGCAAGTGTATCCCTTATCCATTACAGAGGACATCGGATAAATAATATTTTCTTTATTTTTTGTCCAATTAAACATCATTAAATTTTTATTATTGGAACATTTTATGGTTTCATAATTAAGTATTTTAAAGTTGTCTTTAATGTTTGGAACTGATGTAATAAAGTCATAATTTTCCCAATTACACGAGATTGTTGTATTATACATATTTAAATTTATATTTTTGCTAGGACGGGGTATAAAATTGGTATCAATAATTTTTATGTTGTTGTTTGAAAAACTATATGAATTACATCCCACGAAAAGTGATGTGAGCTAAAACAGTGTTGTTTAATAAAATTTAGATTTAAAAAAATAAATACTCACCCTAATTTTATTAATTTTAGTGTGGGACAAATCGATATCCGTACATTCCCGCAATTGACAGATCCCATTTTTAAACATATTGGATGAATTGGTATTTTTTACATTTAACGTTTTCAACTTCCAAAATCGAAATCCAATCAAACATATGTCAATATTTAAGTTTTGATTATAGGACAAATTTAATTCATTAATATTAAATAAATAAAAAAGAGGAGTAATTAAATCGTTAACTAAATTATGTTCCAAATTGAGGTATCTTAAATTACGTAAATTTTTAAAAATATCTTCAGGCAAAAATTGCAAATTTAACGAATTATTTCCTAGGTTAAAGATGTTAAGGTTTTTTAAAGAGTTAAAAATTCCACTGGGAAAGTTTTTTAATAAATTATTTTCCAAGTGAAGCTCATTTAGGCTTTCCAAAGAATTAAAAATCCCATTGGCTAAAATTGTTAAAGAGATATTATTTAAATAAAGAATTTCGAGACTTTTCAAAGAATTAAAAATTCCACTGGGTAACATTTTTAATGGATTATTTGCTAGATGAAGTTCCCTTAACTTGGTCAAATTGCAAAATAAGTTCGGTAAGTTTTCAATTTTATTATCGTTTAAATAAATATACTCTATCTAGATCTGACCCCTCAAATATTGTTTCTGGTAGAATGCTCAAATTACAAAATAATTTTTGATAAATTTTTACTGTTAGCAAAAGAGTAATTATGTAATTGTATATTTCCAATATAACTAAACATCAATACTTTAACTGATAGGTTTTTAAAATTAAATTCGCTGCTTTTAAAGGCAGTGTTACTTATATGAATTTCCTCCAAACTTTTCATTTCATTAAAATTACTTGAATTAAATGCAATAACATTATTTGATATAATGTCTAAATATTGAAGATTTTTTAATCCTCTAGGAATTTTCTCTAAATTTGTATTTTTAATTGTTAATCCTCCTGTTGTTGAAAAAACTGAAAAATCTAAATCCGTTGAATTAGTAAAGTTAACATTTTGTAAATTTAACAAAATAACATTGGATTTTATTATTGAGTTTTCAAAGTTTTCAAACTTAAATTCGCTACTTTTAAATACAGTGTTACTTATATGAATTTCCTCCAACCTTTCCATTTCATTCAAATTAGTAGAATTAAATGCAATACCATTATTTGATGCAATGTATAAAAATTTAAGACTTTTTAATCCCCTAGGAATTGTCTGCAAATTTGTATTATCAATTGTTAATTTTTCTACTTTTGAAAAAACTGTTAAATCTAAATCTGTCGAATTAGTAAAGTTAACATTTTTGAAACTCAAAACATCTGTTATAGAAAATATAGGTAAAAGCTCATTGGACAAATTAAAATATTGACAATCTTCAACAAATAAATAATTTTTATAATTGTCCTCAAATTTTTTTACGCTTGTATTCAATGGGTTCGAACAATTTAAATGGATCGGAACACTGTAGAGTTCGACTGCCACTACTTGTAGCAAACAAAATATTATGCAAGCCATCAATCTGAAAAACAAAACATAGTTAACCAGTAATTGACCAGTTAAGGAAATTTTCGTGAATAATTTATTATATTTTCCTCTATTTTTAGTTTAAAATAAAATAAAAAATATCATTGAGTTTAATTTTGTTTTAAGATTTGATAACAGCTGACTAAAAAAGAAAAAGAGTTTCTATGCCGACGAAAAAAAACGTAATGCACGAAAATTCATGATTTTCCAGTGGTTGACCAATGCCTTGTAAGCAGATATCATTAATAAAACTGTGCCATCTAGAAGTTAAGGGGTAAAACACTATGCAAATAATATAATTTTTTAATTAGGTAATACAGGGACCTTGCTTTTATCATTTAATCGGTAAATTGGTCAATAACTGGTTGATGGTCAATTACTGGTTAACTGACCTATTTATTTTACATTAATAATTCCAATAAAATTGGTGTAAATATTTTATTAACAAATACATTTTTACAGAAATCATGAAAATTATTAAAATATAAAAAATACAGCAAATAAATTTACTTAAGCTTTTGTATATGAGGCCTGTCATAGCAAAACCGACAATCTCCACTTTTGATCAAAAATTAGATTTTTGGCGGAGAATGTACTTTAACTATAATTATCTATAAGATGATAAAGTCTATGTGCTGCAAAAGAAGCTAAATCCTCAAACCCAAATATGTGGAAGAGATCGCTGGCCAAAGAAGAATTGTAAGTATACTTTTACGTACTAAATTATTTCAATTTTGTTTTCCAATAAACACTATTTTTAAGTTTTTTACAATGTTCACAATAACAAGAAATATAATGTAGATTTTTGTTTGTTTAAGGTAACCTGTAAACCTTCCAAACAATCCCAAATGCAATCATAATTCTAGGTCATTTCAGTGCAGTAGCCTAACAATGAGAGATTTATTAACCTTCCATGAAAGATTTTACTCAAGCCATCTTAAGTTAAAACAGAATGCCTTAATAGTGAAGTTTACTCAAGCCTTGCCTGTAAAGAGACGCCGACCTAAAAATTACACTCATTCGATGAAGTCTTTCCAAACTAAATATTTTATCAGCAGTTGTGAAGGTGTATTCATTCCTGTTTGTCAGCGGTCTTTTTTAAGCACGTTGAATATTAGTAGAAGCCGGGTTCAACGCGTAATAGAGAACTTTATGAAAACTGGTACAAACCCAACAGAAAATAGAGGCGGAGATTTCAAACCTAGTAAATATAAAGACAAAAAAAATTTCAGTTAATGATTGGTTGAAAACCCTTGAGTGTGAATGTTCACATTATTGCAGAAGTTCTTCTGTTGTGCAGTATCTTAGCTCAGAGCTAAACATAAACCAACTTTTTAGGCAGCTCCCAATCTTATGGTAAAACGTTCCTTGTTTTGGAGCATTTTTAGCAGTAAATTTAACTTGGAATTTGGACACCCTGTCACTGATGCCTGCTCTACGTGCATTCAATTAACTTTAAGAATTAAAAGTGAAACAGATGTGACCGAGAATGCTAAAGTTATGGCTGAAAAACATGTCCATAAGCTCAGAGCTAAGGCATTTTTTGAACTTGTAAAGGAGAAAAAGGAAGATCTTATCACTTTTTGTTTTGACTGTGAGAAAAATTTATCACTTCCGAAAATACCAGACCAAGCTACATATTACAGCCACCAGCTGTATCTTTATAACTATACTATTACCATCGGTTGCTCCAAAGGTAAGCTGGAAAAAGAGAACGTGTTCTGTTATACCTGGACTGAAGATTAACACAAAAAAGGGTCCAACGAAATTGTATCAGCACTGTTTCACAGACTATCGAACACAGATTTTCAAGGCAAGAAAGTAATCCGTTTAATAGCAGATGGCTGTGGCGGCCAGAACAAGAATATCACGGTGATCTCTGCATGTTCATTCTGGTTAAGTAAAAATGCCCCTAATAATATTAAAACGATGTTACTGGGCACTCGTACATACCACCAGATCGTGTCTTTGGTAATGTTGAGAAAAAAATCAGGACTCATGAAAATAGACCAGAGGAATATAAAAATATCATCTCTGAGCATGGGACTATTCAAACACTTGGAACAGATTGTGAGGTGGCGGATTTCAAAAAAGCTGCCACAAACTTGTTGCACTGAGTGCAAGAGATTTTTTATACGAAAAGTGCTAGGTCTAATAGCATTTTCGTAAGAGGTGAGACAGTGTACAAACACAACCTTCAAGGTTGTGTTTGTACACTTGGACCTTGGCGAATATAAGGCAATAACCAAGAAAAACAGTAGCCTTGATAACTTCCAGCCTGCTATTATACGAAAATATAACGTAAAGGTAAAGCAATGTATGTCAAAACTTTGCTAGTAAAACATTACGGGGCAAAGTGAGAAGAAGATGATGAGTTGTTGTACTATAATAGTATATTAAAGTACAAGTTGCAGAAGGCCACATATTCTCGCACGAATTCGAAATTTGGCCTCGAGCGACGAAGGAGCGAGTGGACGAACGAATGAGTGCGAGAATAGCCTTCTGCAACGTGTGATTTATACTATTTTCTCGATTTTAACTTTTATTTAGGTTTTTTTAATTGTTTTGTGGTCGTTGTTAGTTAGGGGATTTTTCTCGCAAAATGTCAGTTGGCAACACAAAATGACAATATTTGTTATCCTGCACAAGTACAACCTGAACTGCACTTTTTTACATTCAACTTAAAATTTTGCATTAAAATGCATTGTTGGAGCAAACTTAATATTACAAAAACAATAATAAAGGCTTCATTTTCAATAAAAGTAATGAATTTGAGGTTATTAATCAGTTTGACATTTTGGGGGTACCAATACTTAAAAACTAAATGTTACCAAAAATCGTTTAAGAATGAGCTTCATTCTTCAACGATTTTGCGTGCGTGAATATGACATTCTTACATAAAAATCGAGAAAAACTTTTTGCACGAGGCAAACTGGTCGCAGATTTAGAAGAAACTCCATGTGGTCCAGTTCAGAATTTTTCCACATTGATTGTATTTATTTACTCATCCAGCTGTTAGCTAATACAATGCTTTGAAAAATTAGTATCTATTTTAAAAACTCCATAACCACTTAACCACCTGACACAAAATTGATTTTTTGATCGTTTTTTTCTTTCTGTTAACTGTGATGAAATTAGGACAAGTTCACAGGTTAAACGTTTAAAATTCAATTTGTGTAAATAAATCCAAAAGCACTTTCCTTTGCAATATTTTATAACTGCGGGTGGGCGAAAGCATGCTTTGCAGAGTTAAAAAAGTAATAGACAAGGTTAATTCGTGGTTCCTGGTCGATCAATCGCGTATTTTTTGGTAGGATAAAGGTTATTAAAAATTATTTTTAGTCCTTCGAATTTAAAAAAAAGTATCAGGTGCTTCTTTATGGACCCTAAGGACCTACCCATTTTAATATATAATATTAATTAAATAACATCCTTTATAGCAAGCCAAATTTTAAATTTCCCTACTACTTAAATTCAAACTCACCTATTGAAGATGTCCATTTTAATGCGTTAAATTTCAAGAGACAGTAAGAAATATATTCACTTTCTTTAAGTCAAGAAGACATGACAATGTTAACATAATATTTTCAGAAAGGTGCCCTACAAGAGACTTTACTAATTTTAATGATATGCACTATTTGAGTAATTTAAGTTAATACTTACTTTTTGAAGGTACAAGTACTAAAACTAAACTATTTAATAAACTTCCTTCCTTACATTACCTACTTTTTAATTATTTATATCATACCGTGGTTTTAGTTTCCTGTTTATACATATTATAATTTGGAAAAGATTATTTTCTTGATTTCAATAATTTTAATTGGCTTTCCCTAACTAATCTTCGGGATGCAGCCCTTTTAATAGAGGGATGCAGCCCTTTTGATAGAGGGATGCAGCCCTTTTGATAGGGGTATATAATAGGGTGGGCCGATTTTATATTTAACTTCTAAAATTTAAAAATATTAAATTCTGCATTTAAGAAAAAGTTGTGAAATAGGAAAGTAAACATTTTTTGCAAAATATTTTTTTTGATATCTAAATGTTTTGAACTGCCGCAACGCCTCTAAAAATTTAAAAGTAATTTAAAAAAAAATTAAAATTATTCATAAGCGGAAAAGTTGTGAAATAGGAAAGTAAACTATTTTCCTTTAATATATTTTTTCTTTTTTAATGTTTTGAACTGTATAAAGTCAAACTGTAAATTTTAAATTTTGCAATAATTGCAATTATTGGAGAGACGGCGTAAAATGGAGAATAAATATTTTTTAAGATTTTCGAGTTTGACGTAGGACAGTTGACAGTTGGCTTCACTGTTTATATAAATTATAATATTTTGACTTCGTCAATTAGTTGAATAATAGAAATTTTTACAAGTAGTATCTGTTTGTGGTTTTTGGGTGTTTGTGGAAAATGGCAGATAAAACAGGATTATAAATTGAATTAAATTTGTGTTGATGATAAATTCATTTTTATTTTTGTCTTTTAATAAATATTTATCATTCAAAACTTTTTTTAACCCTATTTTCTCTCAGATATTTTTTTCGTATTTATAACGATACTAAATTACATTAAGATCTTTCAAGGCCTTGCGGCAGTTTAAGAAATTAAAATTAAAAAAAAAACTCATAATATTTTTCTGGCCTTATAAATGCACAACTTTTCCACCATTGCACAATTTGATATTTGAAAAATATTAAATTCGGCCCACCCTAGTATATAAAGAATTAAAAAGGAGACCTTGGAAAATATAAAGTAATAGATTAAATTAACAATAAATTCAAAGCTACTTAATTAATACAAAACGTTCTGAATCTTTAATAACTTTCTGTCTATCTTTGATGAAGGAAGTTTCCGCTTCCCTCATACCCTGCTCGCGCTTAATTTTTTGCTGGTGGGCTATTTCTTCCTTCACTGAATACGGAACATCTGGTATCATGTAGGATAAAAATCCTTGTATAAGGAAAACTACGTGCTAAAATCAAAACTTATTAACCAAACCAAAAATTGAATGACCCTTATAATACTTCGATCGCTAGTAGAGCGGCAAATCTAATAGCAAGAATCCACCAATATTCAAGATTTTTTTTTTGATTCTCATCCCTTATATCGTTATAGTAGCAGATTTCTTCGTCAACTTTATAGTCATAGTAACTATAAACCTTACTGGTGTCTATTTTAGAAAACTGCTGTTCGGAAATCCCTTCGAGAGAAGCATTGTAATACATCCGGAAGATTTCTTTCGGTACGAAATCACTGTTAAACGCTATCATAGCTGCCTGATGAGAAAAACGATAAATATTTTGTCTCAAATTACAGGAAAATTTTAATTAAAACAATTAATGGTATTGTAACGTTTTGTGGTTCGACGGTGTGAATCACGCAAGCACCTTCCTGAACCTTCCAGTAAGTTACAATAAGTTTCTAAAGTAAATACACTGAACATTTGTTGTATTTACATTTTTTTTACCCATGGGAAAAAAGATATGGGTGATTCTACAAAAGTTGGACAACTTGATGTCATCAGTCAAAATAGAATATACTATAATATTTTTTGTAAATATTTCAGTATATTACAAAAGATCCAGGTTTTTTTAACTTCCCACCCAATTTTAATGTATTTTTTCAAAAGCACGTTTGTAGAAAAACATAATAAATATTCAAAATATCAGTACCTTGGCATGTCACTACTCCTGAATCAAATATTTGAGTGATTTTATTTTAACAATGCAAGCGGCGAAGTTGTGGTGAATGCACGTATAGTTCCAGTCAAAATTTCAGTACTGTGGTGAGTAGTTATTTTCTTACGTATATATATTTCGTTGTAATTTATATAAGGCTATATGTGATTAGTTGACAAGTAGCATCCACTAATAAAAAATATCAGAAAAATACTTAATTCCGAATTATAATCTCAAATTTGTATCCCATTCATCAGTACCGTGTCGTCAGTTCCATGTTCGATGTTTCGGTTATATTTTTTTCGCAAACTTCAATTTAAATTCTGCTTGCGCAGAACTTGTTTATTTAATGTCATTATAAACTCATATGAGTTATATATATAAATTTGGTGTGGGTCCCATATCTAATAATTGAGATATCGGTATACCCAAAATCCACCAGCCGCCACTGATGTGGTATTATTTGATTTTAAGATATTTAATGTATAATATGCTCAAAGTTGCAATAAATCTTAAATTTTCCAATAAATTATGTATTTAATTAGTATACTCGTGACTTCCCTTGCATTCAAATTTAGAAAACACAGATATTTCAGAAACTGTTTGAAAAAGTGACTGGCCCGGTCTGCAACAGTATATTTATTATATTATCTATGTTCTCATAACAAAATACTGTTTAATTTTCTCCGAAAACTATATAAACAAAATGAGGTCAAAAGTTGCCCAACTTTTGTAGAATCACCCATAATATATATAGTTTAACATACGTTTGCTATGATACCAAAGTATGTAGTGACTTGTAGTAATTTTGAAAAACACACTAATTTAGGTACTTTTCTGGCATTTGGACGTCTGTACAAAGTTATGGTTTTATAGGCATTAATCCTTAAATGCAATATGTTTGTGAAGAATCCACATAGGGGTGCTAGTGGAAATGAAGAGATAAAAAAGGTTACAAATCCATATTCACTAACTAAAATAAAATTATTTAGTTAAAATTTAGTAGTGGCTGTATTTTTTACCTATATCCAAACACTCATGAGCAATCAGGTAACGTTCGGATGTATTTAAAAGATAGTCCGACTCCCATTGTTTTAGTTTCTCGTTTGAAAATTTGGAATTTTGTAGTTTTCTCTTTACAGTTAAGTAACTTGAAAAATATATTAAGAAGATTATTAATATGCAGCTTAGACAATGAAAAAAATAACATACGGGATAACTAATTTGGTGAACATTCTATGACAGGTCCGGATGAGCCATATCGTTAACTGAAGGATTGCCATTTCGAAGGCGCAGCTCAATCCTGCGCACTTGCGGTAGAATGGTTCGTAGATCGGATTATCAACCACTTTGGCTGGGTGATCTAAAGCCTTACCCTTTAAAGGAATTGTGATGTATGATTAAATTTTCTATGAAGAATATTACCATAAAAAACCCAATGAATATTAAACCACCAAAGTTGTTGACGCAATCCAAAATGTAACATTTATAAATGTACGAATTATCAAATTCTATTTCAGTCCTTGGTATCTCAAAATTGGTTATCATGAGGCATATTTTATAATAAATCTATAAAGATAAACATTTTTGTGAATGCAAACTCAAAAATTAGACATACTTTTTGCAGAACAATCATCTTAATGGCAATAATAATATCCACAATAAATATTGAACTTATTTCGGAAAAAGTTCCTACTGTTGTGTACGCAGAACTATCCTCCCATACTCTGAACAAATTAAACCTAAGTACCAGAAACGTAATTCCCAGCAGCACCATTAGGACCGCCTGAAAACATTTTTGTTGACTTCTAATTAAACAAAAAAAAACACAAAATTAATCCATACCGCAGAAACGACAGTCAATACTGTTGCAGTAGTACGTAGTAGCCAAGATACCAGAGGTACGAATGGCTCTAAAGTACCATCGGCTACCTCACGGTAATGAGCTCTCTCCTTATATTCCATCCTAAGTAAATACATTTTTTGTTGAATTAGAATATATACAGTGACCGGAAAAAGTATGGAACAAATTCATAGAAAAATCCTTGAACAGGTCGATTTTGTTTTTCAATTACGCTCATTTTGATGTACAATTTTCATATCATAGCAAGTGTCTATATATGCCAGCTTTTTATTTTATATTTCTTTGTTAGCATGTAAACTGCTCGTCATAAAAATCGACGCACATAGTTTTTTGGAAATTATTTGAAAGCTCATTATTGGAAAATTACAGAATCAATTTTGAAAATCTTTGAAAATTCTGAATAGCTGATTCTTTGACCCTTATTGGATTTAATTTTGGGAATACGATATTGTGCACATAGCATGATTCTACAGGGTTTAAAAAAAAAAGATGTTTTTTTCCAAAATTCCAAAGCCCTATTCACAGGGCAGTTGAGCTTGATAGTCGTAATACCCCTCTCTAATAATAGTTAGGTAATCCCTCGGGACGTTTTAGAGATTTTGCGGATATCTTGGCTAACCACGATTATATGACAATTTCTCGAAAATTCACGTTATTCTTCATTTTAGTCCAAAAAATTAACAATATTTGATTTTTTTACTCCTATGTCTAATTTTGGGAATACGATTTGTGCACATAGCATGATACTACAGGGTGTTAAAAAAAGAGATGTTTTTTTCCAAAATTTCAAATCCTCAATCACAGGGCAGTTGAGCTTGATAGTCGTAATACCCCTCCCTAATATACCTAACAAATCGTTGTCAAATGGTAAGAATCTTGGAGCCTCCAAGTTGGAGCCACCAAGTTGGAGGATGGCGTGGTATATGAGTCATCTTTTAAAATTAGTGTTGGAATTCCGCAAGGAAGTACGATTGGGCCTTTGTTATTTGTAATTTATGTAAACGATTTGTCAAATTCCGCTTTAAGTGTAAATTATGGGTTGGTAAGCTTTGCGGATGATACAAACATATCGGTTAGTGGCAAAACGTACCCTGATATTGGGGCAGGGATTGAGGATATAGAAGATAAAGTAATAGACTGGTTTGAAAATAATAAGCTAGTTGTAAGTCAAGAAAATCTAACTGTATTTTGTTTAAAAAGCCACAAGATAATTTAGAAACGCCTCTTTTTGTATATATAATTTATAAATTTAAACAATAAAATAATACACTTTACACCACAAATGAAGTTTTTGGGATTATATATAGATGAATTTCTAAATTGGTCTTATCAGGTTGAACATCTTTGTAAAAAATTACCTCAAGTCAAGTTTCTAAACTAAACTAAACTAAATTCATATGTTGAAAAAACTACCTTAAAATCAGTTTATTTTGCCTCTTTTCAATTATTGTTGTTATTGGAATAATTTTTTGGGGGCGTTGTGCAGTGGCGGACTCAGGGTGGAAGAAACCCACCCTGGGCGGACTAAACCCGCCGGGGGCCCAAGCGGTAAAATAAAATGGCGCTCTTAGTCTGCTTATGAAATAATGTGATTGTTTTGTAAATATTAATGTTTTGTTATTTTAAATTTGTTTGTAGATCCTCTTAGCAAGTCCATTGCAACAGTCTTAATGTAATCAGGGATATGAAAATTGATTACAAGCTTTTTCCAGCGAACTTATACTTATATTTGAACTGAAATAATTTAAATTTTAAAAATCAAGGGGCCCACTCATGACAGACTAAGATTAACCATTATTTAATAACCTTTTTCCTAGGGGTCCCGAGACCAAAATATTAAAAATCTTTTTTAGTTTTGACTTTATATATATTTTTTTCATATCATGTTATTCATTAGAAACTTGAAATCTCCGGGGTACTTTTTTTTAATCAGTATATATTTTATGGTAAAGCTGGGTCCTGAAATATTTATACCTATACTAGGGTTTTAAAGTGTCGAAAAAAAACCTAAAAATTTGGGGAAAAACCAGGCCTTAAAAAAATGTCTTTTTTGGGAAAAATTGATTTTTTTTTTAATATATATGTACATTCGAAAGAAATAGCAATCAACAACTTAACATTAATTTAATTAAAAAAAAATATAAAACTAAACATTGAATTAAATTGATTTAAGAAAATGATATGATTATATTCAGCTTCGGAAATTTACTTCTTTCTCGATATCAGTGTACGGTTAGTACCTACATATCTGTAAAAATTTGCAAATTTTTAGAAAAATTAGTAAATTTTTAGAAAAATTTGTAAATTTTTAGAAAAATTAACTTTTGCAATTTTTCGTATACCTACTGCTTGAATAAGACGAGAAAAATGCAAGTAAATTTTTCTGAAAATTTCCCAATTTTTCCGGAAATTTTAAAACCCTGTATTTTAGATAGTTTTTTGTTGTACTGAGAAAGACTACTTAAGATTTGGGGGCCCTTATGGACCGGGGGCCTGGGGCGGACCGCCCCCCCGCCCCCCCTCAGTCCGCCACTGGTGTTGTGCAATAGTTATAAGGGTTTTTGTCATACAGAAAAGAACAGTGCGAGTTTTGTGTAATCTTAAATACAAAATGTCTTAAGACACATGGGTATTTAAAACCAACGGTTTATTGACTGACATTAACTGGAATCTATATATATGAACTCCTAATTTTTATGTTTAAGAATAAAAATAAGTTTAAGTACCTGAAGTCTAAAAGTAACAGAACTTATATTTATCTTATTCATCGTAGCTATGAGAAGTCTTGTTTTTATTTGTGTATTAAGTGTTTTAACGTACTGCCTAATGAGATTAAATCATTAAATGTTATTGGCCTTTTTAAAAAACATGTGTATCAATATTTGTTGTCGATTGAACTCTATACTTTTAATAAGTTTTTACTACACTAATGTCTCTTTTATTTTATTATGTTATCATTAAGTTATTTTATCTACTCCTACATTGACGAGCTGTGACTTTATGGCGTTTTAGTCACGGGCTGAAGTTAGCTTTATTATAAATTAGAGAAAAGTGAGGTTAATTCCATTGACATTTATATTTATTATATATATATATATAATAAATATTAATATATATATATATATATATATTAGGGTGTGCCAAAAAACTCGATATTTTTTTTTCTTGCTCTCCGCCCAAAATATCGTAGAATATGTCCGAAAAAATATGCTGTTAAAAGCGGAGCTCATAATTTCAATTTTAAGAGGTCCCTCATCGAATCTGAAGTTTTGCCGCTTAAATAACACAGAAAACTGACTTTTTTACCTTATTTATTCTTGCAACCTAGGAAGAATTTTTTTTTCATAAAATCCATGACTAATTCTTACAAAGCATTAAATTTGGACAAAAAAATCTTATTAAGCCGAATTTCTATTTTCATTATTTGATTATTTACAGAGCTTTAAATTTAAAGTTAATAATACAAAAATGATGAATTTATACGCCTGTAACTTTTAGAATATTGACGATACAAAAAATTCGCCTAAAACTTTTTTGTGGTCCATCAGACAAGCTAAAAAATTGCCATTTGACTTTTTCGTCTAACTTCAATAGTTTAGCTGAAAAAGGCAAAAAACGTTAAATTTTAAATTTAAAGCTCTGTAAAAAATCAAATAATGAAAACAGAAATTCGGCTCAATAAGATTTTTTCGTCCAAATTTAATGCTTTGTAAGATTTGGTCATGGATTTTATGAAAAAAAATTTCTTCCTAGGTTGCAAGAATAAATAAGGTAAAACAGTCAGTTTTCTGTGTTATTTAAGCGGCAAAACTTCAGATTCGATGAGGGACCTCTTAAAATTGAAATTATGAGCTCCGCTTTTAACAGAATATTTGTTCGGACATATTTTACGATATTTTGGGTGGAGAGCAAGAAAAAATATCGAGTTTTTTTGGCACACCCTAATATATATATATATATATATATATATATATATATATATATATATATATATATATAAATATTATTATTATTATTATTATTATTATTATTATGATTATTATTATTAACGTAACTAAAAATGATGATGCATTTATAGGTGTCCAAAAGAAAGCTTGGGTTTACGTTTCTAGGGTTCCACGGCAGGTGACTATAGACTCAGTTTTAACGTATATAAAAAATAAATCAAAGAGTGAAGATGTAATTGTAAAGGAATTACCTACAGATCTCAATAAAAATAAATCATTTATGGTGGGGGTACCATTTACAGAGATTGATGAAATCTATGAACCAAGTTATTGGCCCAGTGGTGTAGGTATACGAAGATTCAGTTTTAGTAAATTTAATAGTTACAAAAAACAAACCGAAGAAAGTAAGCCCCCAAGCAATTTTTTAGAGGTACAATAAATAACCACAAAAACCTTAAAAATGTAAATAATAAATGCTTGTTTAGTTTTAATCTATGCCATATAAATATAAGGTCCTTATCTTCGTGCTTTCAAGATTTCTATCACTACATACATACCCAAAATTACGATCTTATTGCAGTCACGGAAACCTGGATTAACGAAGATATGCCAGACTCACTATTTTACATTCCAAATTATGTTATAATAAGAAAAGACAGAATTACTCGGGGAGGTGGAATTTGTTGGTATGTGCACGTAAACCTCAAACCTCAAATCTAAAATTGTTGAAGTTGAATCCTTGATCGAGAATAGGCTAGAACAACTTTGTCTCACAATTAACATAAATAAATGCAAATATGCCTTTGGGGTAATATAATGATAATACAATCTCATTGGATGACCTTGATAAGTCTCTTTGCCAACTAAGTCTTGAATCAGATTATCTAATTATGGTAGGTGACCTTAATATAAATTTATTACAGGAATCCTCGTTAAAAGGAATGCTCACTAACTTACTTGAAATATATAGTCTGCAACAGGTAATAGAAGAGCCCACTAGAATAACCGAACACTCTCAAACCCTTATTGATGTCATCTGTTTACCTAAAAATCTGGAATTTAATGAGTGCAGCACCACTGATCTCATTGGAATGACAGACCACCTTTTGGTTAAATGCAAAATCAATATTCCATCAAATAAAGTAATACCTAAAA